ACCGCTCGGGCCCTCCATTACAATGCGCGGTACCGCCTCGGTACCGCTCGGGCCCTCTATTACAATGCGCGGTACCGCCTCGGTACCGCTTCGGTACTGCTCGGGCCCTCTATTACAATGCGCGGTACCGACGCCCCGTTTGGGTTTTACAAAGTTTTAATTGGATCGGAGTGAGGAACTTCCAAGAAAACACAAAGACCAACGGAAAGCCACGAAACGCAACCTTAACATTGTAGTCCCGGCGCTTCTTCAAACGGGGCGCTCCACACTTGCGCAAAGGCATTCCAAGTGTACTTCGCACTCAACCATTCTTTTGGGTTGGTCGGTTGCTTGTCGTTTGTTGGTTTAGGTGAACGTGAAAAGGTTGGCTTTGCGTAAGTCTGTTGGATGTTGTTTGGTTCTTGGTTGTAGGTTTGGGTAGAGGACCTCGGTTGGAGAACAAGTTTTGTTTGCCCGGGAATATGCGCGTGTGTGGCCATTGGGCCGGAGATTGGTGTTCACCGTGTATTGGCGCAGGTTTTGACACGTTAACTTTCCAATCGACGATTGTCCACTTCTTTGTGGCACTTGCCCAAAAAAATTGCCCACGGGCCCTCGCTTCCACCACAAGCAGGTCGGACTGGAGACCACTAGTATCCAAAAGCAAGTCGGCATAGTGGTCCTGCAAACTTGTTTTATTCTATCAATAAATTCTATTCTCCCACAGCGTGATTGCAGGACCCGTGCTCTCTCCCTGCAGTTTCCTGCGTCAGGGACACCCGGCTTCCAGAGACCAGCTGACTGATCAGGAACAATGTGAAGCGGCCAAGCGGATCACGACGCGTGCGAAAATCTTGTCCGTTGACGGCCCCAAAACCAAGCGCCAAAAATGCAGTGGATTCCAGGGTCGCCAAAGTGGGCCTCCCCAGTTCAACGTTCGCAGGGCGTGGAGAACAATTGCTCGCGGCGCTGCAACACCATGGGAACCCAGTGGCACAGCGGTATGCGAAACTTCTGTCGCGTACCTGCGGAAACAATCGAAACTTGCACTATTTTTCGACCGGCGGCGAAAATTTTGTCGACAAACGGCGCCCGTTTTGGGGTCCAGAAACGGACCCCAAAACGGGGGCCAAGTCGTCCGGACACAAGCAAATCAAATTGAGACTGAATGAGTGGCCTCCATTTTGGGGTCCGTTTCTGGACCCCAAAACGGGGGGCCGTTTTGTCGGCAAATTTTTAGTCACCGGCGAAAAATAGCAAGAGTTTCGATTGTTTCTGCACGTACGCGACAGAAGTTTTCCATGCCGCTGCTTTTCCATGGTTTTGCAGCGCCGCAGGCACTTGTTCTCCACACCCTGCGAACATTTATGGCCACACATGTTCTTGAACTGTATGCCTTCGAGAGTTGCCTCACACTTGCCACCATCACCTTTGACATGGATCATACTAACAAACCTAGAGGACTGCCTGAAGGGGCATTCTGCGGCGCAGGCATTGAACAGCTCTGCCTGCGGAGTGACTTCCACAATATCGGGCCGCGTGCCTGTGAGAATTGTAAAAGCCTTGTGGAGGTTAACCTCATGGACACAGAGATCACAGCCCTTCCTTCTTCCACATTTGCCCACTGTGTCGCTTTAAACTGCATATGGCTCCCGCCACGACTCACGCTAATTGGCAAAGAAGTTTTTCTGAATTGCGTCGCACTGCAAGAAGTTGTCATCCCGACGGAGCTCAGGGATATAGGCAACCGTGCATTTGGTGGGTGTGAGCAGCTGCAACGATTCACCCCCCTGGACTGAGGTGACATTGAACAGTGGGTGCAAGCAGAGCACAATGCCTTTTTTATGTGTGACAAGTTTGAAAAACCTCAGTGGGTGGAGCTGCTCCCTGCAGAGGGACCTGATTCGGATGCTTTTGACGAGGAACTCTACCACGAATATTGCCAATATCATGCCAGCCCATGGTAGACTCTAGGTGGGTGCCTTAGCATCTGTCTCCAGAATCCAAGGCCTTGGGAACAGCCCACGCGCAGACCCAGACACCTTTGGCTCAAACAATCATTGCAAATAGCCTGTCGCACATGGAATTTGATGATTCATCCATGATTAGCACCCCTCCTGAAAAGAAGCCGGTCATGGAATACTCCCTGATGTTGACTACGCTTTCGGGAGAGACTTTTCAGGTCTCTCTCAGTGTTGCAAAGTTTGACCGCTTTGAAGATCTAGAAGATCAGGTTATGGACTACCTTGTTTCTGTTGCTGATCTCAAAGTATTTGGGTGCTTTATTGACTTTCTGCAAACTGCCACACAGACTTACCTAGAGGACCCAATCTGGGACAAGCTACAGCAAGGCACGGAACACACTGTCGTTTTTCGGAACTGCAGTGTTTTCCTGCCATCTCAAGCAGAACTTGAGGATTGCCCCATCCATCACATTCCGCTGGCAGTTCATGTCCCCATGAACCCAGAGAGAAGTGTCCCAGAAGGGGCCTTTGCAGGGGTTCCACGCCTGAGACATGCCAGTGCAGAGTCAGGCATCAGGTTCATTGAGGCAGAGGCTTGGCAAAACTGCCGGCAGCTCCGCATCGTCAAACTGCCTGCCACAGTGGTAGGCATTTCCGATAATGTCTTCCGCGATTGCAAACAGCGTCGTGGCTCCGGGTTGCCTGGACTTTGGGTGAAGCCTTTGCGGAATGTTGTTCCTTGCAATGGGTGTATGCATCGGAAGGAATTGCAAATGTGTTCAATAGCGAAGCCAAGTTGGGACAATACCTCTTTCAAGGTTGTATCAATCTTGCTAAGGTTACCTTAAGTGAGCTTCCATCTCCCCAAGAGTCAGTACTGCAAGCTAGGGTCAGTGAGTCAACGCCGGGCTGTCTTGGCTCCACAGGAATCACTGCACTTGCTCTTCCAATGCATTTTGCAACTGTCGGAGCGCATGCATGCGACAGTTGCCGACTGCTTAAGAGTGTGGATCTTTGCAACACCAATGTTGAGGAAATTCCGGAATTCGCCTTCGTGCAGTGCACTAGTCTCAGAGAAGTCCTCCTTCCGACAACTCTCCATACAATCCGAGTCAAAGCCTTCATGAACTGTGCAGCTCCAGCAGAGCTTGCCATTCCGCCCTCGCTGAGGTACATAGGAAGTAGGGCCTTCCTAGATTGCACTGTCTTTGGTAGGCCAGTCAAGATGCCAGAAAGGCATAAATGGCGAGGAATCTATGCTGAAGAGAATGCTTTCGCCATTTGTCCTGCCATGCGATGGCCACATGATCGAGGACATTGGCACACCCCTACTCTTGGATGAAAACAAGACTTTTTAACTGCAGCGAGCGCTGTATCGCAGTTCTCGTTAAGAGTCTGGGCACGCGCCTTAGCGTGAGTCCAAGGTAGGTCAACGATCACGACAGGACAAATTCCATAGGGGAGCGGAGAAACATCGCAATTGCACCCTTTCATAGGAAGTTCCACTCAAGAGTATCATGGCGAGGCTAGAGGCAAGCAAAAGAAAATAAACTGCACATTGCCAAAGACCAGTGTCCCTGAACAAACTGGATAACCCGTCTAGACAGATGCCAGTCACAGGGAAGAAAACTGATCAGACCTGACAGAGCCGGCAATCCTGTGGCTGGAATGGAGGACAAGCTAACCGACAGCAGAGTACGGCAAGCAAGATGCGCAAGCACTAAACAACCTCTTTTCGCCATTCGTAATGCTGTGAGCCAATAGGAGTGAGAGCCTTAGCTCTTCGTTCCTAACAGGCGGGTGGTAGAGAGTTGCAATGGAGGATGCCCAGGGGGAACCTTAGTTCCCTTTGTTGATGTCCGCCATTTCCAATTTTGTACAAAGAGGTACAGATACCATGCCAGGATTGTCCAAAGTTTCACCTGTTTCACCTGTTTCACACGGGCCTTGCATGCAGCCGATCACCTTTTGCAATGGTGCAGCGCTTCATTGACCTAGAAGACACCCCACTCTGTTTGCTATTTGGTACCTTTGAGTGCCAAAGGGTGCTGCTGACCTTCCTTCGGGGGGGTCTTTTCGCACCATTACCCACAGGCTTTCGTCGATTATGGCCGCCACTTGTTGATTGTCGATTGGTAGCACGCCACTTGACTTGTAAGCGCAACCGGTTGAACGGGTTGTGCCACAAGAAACGTCTTTTCCACGGCATGCTGCATAGCTACGCCACCCCACTTGCTAGGGATGCAATCGACGTTGAAGCATTGCGAACTCCGTATTGGAGTGTTGACCTGCATCGTGACCATGATTTTGCCGCACTGGGGTGTGGCCGCTGGTCACTCATAATTGTGAAGTGAGGTCCCTTTGAAGCCTTTTCACGACTTTGCTTGAGCACAGACCTGCGCCGATATGCTTTTCGTTCGTTAATTCAGGCCCCTTTCCAGACACTCTTTTTCGTCTCACCTGTTTCACCTGGCACAGAGGAAAGACTACATGATGGTGGAGACTCGGCCTGTGGGTCTTGGTGCTAAATAGTGGGCTGGGAAAAATTAAAAATTATTTCCACGAAACCAACGAAGAAGTGTAAAAGATCATGCACTCATGATGTCAAACCTCAACCAGCATCATCGGTGTTGGGAAGGACCAAAGACCCTGATGGCACACAATTGCGTTGGATTGAACCAAATCTACAACAGCATACCGGCGAACGGCTGGCAAACCCTTTTCTCGACAAGCGCGCACTTCGTCTCACTGCCCAAGAGTCCCTGCCCGGCACATCGAGCCCTGGAAACGAAGAGAACAAGAGTGAGGAAAAGATGCACGCATATATCTATATGTATATATGTAGACATCCAAGTTTCATACCTGACTGGGGCTGGAGGCGCGCCATCGAGGTCCAAAACTCTCAGCGCTGCGAATCTTTGGTCTGGAAACTGAGCTCTGCCATGGTTACAAAACAAGGCTTTGGTACAAAACACGTTCTTGTAGGCACTTGTTTGCCGAAGTAGAGCCCACACATCTGTGGAGAAGCAGTAGGCGCAAACGCCCAACATGCAGAGCTCAGCTTTCTTCGTCCGAAGCACTCCCTTCCTCAGAACCTTCTTCCTCATTCTGTTCCTCGGCCATGTCTCCCAAGACTTTCTTCCACTCCTGGCAGCGACCCCGCCGAATCGATCAAACCTGTGCGGTGGGCCTTTCCTGTCTAATTCTACCTGGCCTGCTGGATGAAACCTCTAGAAAGGTGCTAGACATGGCAACACCCCCACACATGTATGCGTTTGTGACATCATCCTGACATGTTTGGTTCAACAACTCTGCGTTCGTTAGAATGGGTTTCCGTGGAAGGACAACGAAAAGTTGTTTCAGTGACACTGCATGATGGCGAAGTCCCCCTGGTTACTTCAAGAGCGACTACGTCGATGCCGGAGAAAAAAACTGGCGCACTCGGACCCAGAGTTGTCGGTTTCTTTTCTTCAGTGCTGGCGAGAACCGTCGTCCGTTTCCTTTGTCGTAGCAGCAAGCCCAAACAACACATGCTTGATCCCCACCAACCCCCACCCCTATGCACATGGCATCATCTCAGTAGCATTACACCACTCATCCCCGCACCCCATCTACCACCATGCGTGCGCCACGAACATCATGTCCCCGCAGTTACCCCGCGAAATTTGGAACACTGCAGGCACATGCCATGTGATCCAAAAACAGACAAATAGCATGCGGTGATGACAGGGAATTCCTGAATCCGCCGAGCCTCACCAAACGCTTTGTCTGACAGCATTGAACCTTCCTTTGTCATAGCCAACCTGTGGCCGGGAGCGCCGTGTGACTGTAGCGCGAGTAAATCCCAAGGTCTGAGGGTAAGGCAGCACAAGCTGGGGGAGTTGAGTGTCCATCAACCATTTCTGGTGCTTTGCGTTCCGAGCCAGCCCACAATATATCCTGAGACTGGGATTCGCCAAATTGAAAAAGACCCGGTCCAATGAAACAACCCAACCGCTACAAAGCCCTCATGTCCTACATTGGAAAATTGGTCTTGTGTTGCGCAAGTGCACTGAATGAGGCGCTGGCAACCCTTTCTTTGCGCACTCCACAGCCCCCACGCCGGTGCCCGGTGTGAGGTCGATGCACGCCACGGCGCCCAGCATAGTCAAAATCTCTTCGTACAAGGAGCCATGGTCCTCATGCCAGCACAACGGCTGGCGCTCAGAGCCCAAGAGCTTCTGCATGCGTTTGCTTTCCTTCTTTGCCTTTCCTCCACCACTCTCCTGTTGGTGACAAGCGCTGGGCAAAAACGCACGCATGGTCTCCTCGCAACACAAAACAGCTGGCCATCACACGGCCTGCGTGTGTGGTGCGAGGGCAAAGCAAAAGGATGGGCAGGCACACACTAACTACGGCCAATCACGCAGGTGAAAAAAACTACAGTAACCCAGCTGAATCTCACCTTTGGTGGGTCGTTCTAGAAAGTACACATAGACTAATAGATGCGACCAAACTGGAAAACACGCGAACATACAGGTCGTTGGCTTGAACAGGGTCGCCGCGCGCGGCTGGTTGCGCGGCATCGCATCGGGCCTCTTCATCGATACCAGCGCCCAGAATTTCTTTTTTGAGGGTCGTATCGACCAAGGTCAACTCTGACAGCTTCCGAGTCGGAGCTCCCATGATTACATCTGAGTCTGTGCGATCTTCGCCAATAGTTCGAGCACGAACCTGCGGCATTGGAAAGCCCACCGCTTTTAACTTCTAGTGGAAGAGCGCTGCCTGGCCTTGACCAACTTCTTCCAAGGCAGCTTCGGTGAAATGCAGAACAGTTGCTCAGTCCTTTTCAGGGAGCCTTGGTCGTTCAACAACCACCGCAAGACAACAACAAGAACCGGTCAGCCATCAAACGACCAAGTCCGTAGCCAAAACTGCGAGCCGATCCGTAGCGCTTCTTCAGCCCCGCATGGCTGTACACGATACAGAGTTCCTGACACAGAATTGTCAGGTCTTAGCGCATGGTTTTTGCCTGTCTCTACCTGCCTTCCGGTTGGGAAAGGCACCTTCCTTTGTCTTTTCCAGAGGAAACTTGGAGTGCACCGCAGAAGCAGTCTGGCGCGTCCGGCCATCAAAGATCACGAAGACCTGGCCCGAAACCCCGCCTTCTAGCCAGAACCCACTCTTTAGGTTCAAAAACATGAGGGGTCGCCCATCGGTCACCAAAGAAGCTCTGGTTCATCAAGCTCTTGGCGACATCAAGGAGTTTGTACGGTTTGTCACCTAGCCTCAGAAAAAACAAATGGGGGCCTGACGTGGAAACAATCTAATCCAAGAAGCCACCAGCGAAAAATTTACGGCGCAGCAAAGTCCGAGCAACGGCGGAAACCTGGCATGGGGCCTTGTTTTTGTTTCGGCATAGAGTTTCGGGTTGATCAAAACAACTCCGAGCCCACCCTTCTGGCCATCCTTCTGCTTCATCGAAGCTGCAACGGAGCCACCTACGGCCGCTCAAACACAAACTGCCCCAAATGTGTGAGCTATGGCCCGCCTAGAACAGCAGCGACTTGCTCAGCAGACTGCTTGGACGGAAGGAGGATCTCAAAAGCTTTGCGCGCGCGCGGTCGCCAATTTCAAACCACGTTCCTTCAGATCCTGGCGCTGTAAAAGGTCTGAAGAATAACAAAATACCTGGAGTCTAAAACCAGACGTTGCTGTTCTCCAGCCTCTGCAGCGCTACCCTGCAAAGCCGAAGCTGCTCCGCCAGTGGCTGGCACCGGGTCCGAAGAAAGAAACGCCTGCAACCTCAAAAGCGAGAAACAGTCTATGCGTGAGGCAACACATTTAATGAGTTCCCGGCTGCTCTGCCCCAGTAATCGTTGGAAAGTCCAACTTATGCTGGGAGCGAATGGTTTCCATGGTGCTGGAGAATGACCCATACTCAAACAGGTCTTCGGCTGGTGAGGATGGCTTGTTCTTCGCTATCCCTCGCAGTGTTGCATCGTAGTCGCCCTCCTCCGCCAGGATGCATAGCTGCGTTGCGTCTTACAGAGGTTTTGACTGGCTACAAAAATGGTTGGAAGGAACATAACCACACATGGCCGCAAAACCCAAGTGGAATACTATCAGCTTATCAGCCGCCTGGACCTCATGCAAAAGGTCGCACAGCAACTGCACAGATTTTGGCTTCGAACCAATCCAAGCAATGTTGCCTCGAATGGGGCATCTGCACGGTGGTTTGGCAGCACACAATTCAGCCTCCAAAAAACTTGCATCCGCTGGAACCACCATGTGTGCCGGACAAAATCTCTGGACTAGCCTCAGGACATTGCCTAGAAAGTTTCGGCGCTGATCGGCTGTGCAGGTTTGTAGGGTTGGTCACGTTTCAAGCTTTGTTGGTGGCATCAAGCTTGCCATAATTTGGAAGGCCAAAAGTGAGGGTGCGAATGAACTGCAGCAGTGCTTGTACAAGTTGTGGGGAAGCTGCTCCTCCGTGGGCACAAACATGTTTCAAGTGTAGCGGTTTTACAAGTTGTGGTGGAGTTGCTCTCGTGTGGGCACAAAAATGTTCAAAGTGGACATCGTCACCCATCGGTTGGAGCATCACGGTTGGAAATTTATGTCTTGCAACACGTCTTGGATACTGCCGCAAGCAACTCAAAGTCAGAAGACGCGCAACAGACCCAGTGTTTGCGCACGCTACAAGTGTAACGCGGCAGCTTGCTTTCTTACGTAGTTGGTACATCGACAGAGCATCGGTAAACGGGCCTGTCCCATCGATTACGCAGGTTTGATGCAGGATTCTTATATCCCAAGACCACCTTGTAACTACTTGAAAAACACATCTTATCATACACTATGGGTTGCAAAGTGACAGGGCAAGCGGCCTTGGTATGTCTCATGATGCGCCTTTGGGTCCAGCATCCTCTCTTTGACTGTCTCATCGTCCCCAGAGAAGGTCAGAAGGAGCTTGAGCAGAGTGAACCTGCCAATCAAAAAATGCGGAAAGAATTTGCTGACCAGGAGCATGCTCTGAGGCTGCTGCCGCCAACAAAACACTTCGTACAAGCCAACCTTTCCTGTCAAGCCAACCTTTCCTGTCAAACAGAAGGTCGGAAACTTACGCACGCTAAAATTAGCCCCGCTCCTCTAGAGCCAGCAACATACTCCTTGCCCATCGTTTTTTCCAGAGCTCCGGTTAGAAGACCAACCTCCAAGCTGCGCAGAATGAATCTGTAGTAGTCCCGCCTTGCCTGCGCAGTTGCAGCAAGAGCTCGAACGACTGACACTGCGGAAGTCACAGGATAAAAAGACACAGGGCTGCCTCCAAAGTTGCATGAATACCCCTTTTCTTCGCGTGTGATTTCACAAGGCCAATGAGCTTCTCCAGCTTCGACCAGGATGCAATGGGCCCGTCAGCGCCGCCATACATACCCTGGATCATTGTGTCATTGCGTCGGGCTCCAATCGTAATTTGGGGGAACGAAAGTGGGAGGGAACAGAAAACTAAACGCGCTTAAATGCACAACCCACAAGACTGTGGCCTTGCCTCTAAACGCTGGAACTCCTGCCCAAGCTCGGGGCTGCCAAACATTTCCTCCTCAAGCACTTGGTAAAATTTGAGGGCAGAGGCGCTGTAGGGAGCATCAGTCTCATCAGTGCACTGGATCTTCTTGAAGAATTCAACCAAAGCAGTTTTGCTATGACTAGCACCAGGACTCTCTTTCTCGAGGACGGTGGCTGTGTAACGAACTCTCGCCACCACCTGGCTCAAGGTGAAAGCAGCAAGTTTGCGGCTCTTTGCGGCTTCATCTTGCCGAAAAGCAGCCAGCATTCGGTCACTCTCCCGCGAGCACACCACGAAGCGCATCGGCACGGCCCGGGCTTTTTGAAGCCAGCGTTGCAACGCCACATGTGCAGTGTCCGTCTCCTGCAAGATCGCCACCGCCAACGCCAAGGCCACTTCGTCGCCCCACACAAGGTGCAACTCCTCCTGATTTGGAAGCGTGTTCATTGGCCCGTCAATGGCCACACCAACCTCCATGGAGCCGTTGCCTCTGATCATCTCGCTCTTGGCCAAAGTTTTGACCGCCGCCCAATTTGTGGAAGCACCTGGACAGCTGGGCCCTCCCAGCTTCAGCCAAAACAGGCACCTCAAAGCACAACAAGCGCCGCAAAGCCCTAATGTGCAACTACAGTGCACAGATCTAAGGCAAGTTCCCGCCGGCCAGCCAACCACCTTCTCCTATGCCCCGTGAGCTCGATGGGAGGAACGGCGCAATCCCGGCTCCATCGCTTGCATTCGCCGGCGTTAAAAGCACCTGCCAAGATACAATGTCAAAAAAACTTTCAGAAGTGAGGGATCCTCTAACAGCAAAAGTTTTCTTCTCTCGCGAACCCCACGCCGAGCACGCTCCTGCGCCAAACATTAAAAGCCAAGCCTTAGGCTTTGGCCCCCTCCCCCAAAAGACTCAGGGACGAACGGTTCCACCGTCGCCAGCTTTGCATACACAGCAAAGCCACTGCCACCAATGTTGGTGTCCAGCCCGGTTTTGAAAGCTACTGTAGTTATCAAGAACTATGGTTTTGGGGCCAGGCTCGTCCACAAGCTCCCACTTGCTGCCAGCTGCTTTGCAGCTTGCTGTGATGAGATCAGCGGTCGCCCGGTGCTTCTTCACAAAGTCGCTTGCTAGATGTATTCTCCTGCAAAAAAGGAAAAGAATTTGCTTTACTCTGAGCCACCCTTGCTGGGAGGCGACTTGGAAGAAGGCAAAGCACATGTATCGACAGACTATCCTGACAAACGCTGTTCTGAGACTTGTTCTGGCATGTTCCGACACACCATCTATTGTAAAGGCTGGGACATGCAAGTGTTCTGACATTTGTGCTGCCGCGTATAGTCTGACATGTGACATGTGTTCTGACATCCTTTCTGGCACTCTGGCATTCTGAAATTCTTTCCACTTTTCTACAGGGCGTGACATCCTTGTCATCTGGCACGTGCGACAATTCTAGGGAAGGGCACATACTTAAAATATGTTCTCCAGACGGAGCTGGAGCCTTTCGCTGTGGCGTGAGGTTGAAGAGGATGCGGAAGAGGACGGGTGGTAGGTGGGGACCTAAAGGGTGGGAATTAAACACGGCCAACAAGCAAACACAAAAAAACATCTATCTGCATTCGCCTTTATACCAGCCACGGCACTGGTCAGACGACCTCTCTGGGTGCGGCTTATACTGGACCCACGGCGTCTTTGTCGAGAGACCTTGCGCCAGGATTTTCCCATGGAGCATGGCAAACACTGCGAGCCAGCTGGGTTCCCGGATGCTCCGAGTGACAAGAACGTCTGCATATTGCGGCCTCACCAACTTCTGGCCAGAGAGCAACGAAAAAGAGCCACGCAAATCCCTCGGAAGGTAAACAGCAGCCTTGGGGAACACATTGGCTGGTAAGCGCTGCTGCTGGTAGGCAGCTGCTTTCTCGTGCATGCGCCTCTCACGCACGCTGATCACCCGGGCCCTCCGCAAAATACCCCGCAATGGAGCGTTGGCCTCTTTGCGGATGCCTTGCTTCAAAGTTTCTCGAGCTTCCTTCTCTTTAGCCTGTCGCTTGATTGCAAATGCCTGGTGAAGCTGCTCTCTCCTAGCTGTCTCTACCTCTGCATCTGGCGCGCCAGGAGTGATTGGCATAGCCCCTCCAAACATAGTCCGACGTCGCTTCCCCTCGCGCGCAAGAGCGTCGAGAGACCGGCGCTGCTGCGCAATAAGCCCTTTCTCGGTCAACCTATTGTGTGGCCTCTTCTTTCCGCGGGCCAAGGTTCCCAGTGTGGGATCGCCATAGCCAGCCCGAGGTCGCCCAAAGAACTCTTCATACAAGGCCATAGCCCGGCGGAGCACATGCGTGCCTTGCCCATTTTGGACCAAGTCACTCTCCTTCATCTCAGCCAACTGCATGGTGTCACCTCAACACTAATTACTAAAGATTAAAGAGAACAAGGTCCAAACTAGGAATGCGCCTGGCTTCTGGAGCCCTCATTGACAACCTTAAACTCTCACAGGCTAGGGATTGCTTTGCTAGGGGGGATCCCTTACAAAGCTGAACTGGTACTCTATATATTGCTGGCTTGCTGCGAAGGCGAAGCAGATCTTTGTGGGCACTTCTAGCAGGCGTTTGCCGCTCTACCTCTGAGAACTGCGATTCGACGCCTTGCGTCACTGCTGCGCAGCCAAAGTGGAAGCGCGACATCCTTTTCCTTGGAATTACGGCTCGGTCTGTGCTGGGGAAGGAAAAAACATGTTGCGCGAAGCCGAGGTCCTGGCAACGCAGTCACATTGCGTTGTCTTCTGGTAGCTTCATACCGCTGCAGCGTCGTCCTGCCACAAGGCTCGACACCAAATAACCGGTTTATTGAAGCGTGCACCGGCCTCCAAGCTGCGAAGTTGTTTCCAAGCTTGCCCCATGCATAGAGGAGAGTGTCCCGCACCTCCACAAATTGGCACCAAGCCTCCTTGGCGTCAACCCCCAAAGCAGCCGCAAGCTTGTAGAACTTCTGCTGCAGTTCATCGGATCGCTTTTGCTTGGCATCCTGCTCTGGCCTAGTCTGACCAAAACTTTGCAAGCAAGCCCAAGCAGGGATCGACAACGACTCCAACTGCAGCATCAACTCTTGCGCAGGGAACTCTGCCAGAACTGCCTGCCGCAAAGTGTCTGCCCACGCTGAGATGTGCTTGTGGACTTTCCGCAGCGCCCCGGCTGTGTCACTTGGCCACCCAATTTGGGATAATGCATGGTGAGTCCAAGTTCCCTCATTGTTGTCTTGCCAAATTCGGCCTTCGGCAAACACAGTGCGCCTGCATGCTTCGCAAAACCCAAAGTACCCTAAATCCTTGAATCAATCCCACCGTGATCTAACGCAAAATAATAACATGTGGGACATCTGCCAGGCAAAGCCAAGCAACAACTTCTCTAGAAACTCGTGGATCTGGAGCGCAAACAGGGCTGGGTCATGACGACTCTCTGCTTCCACTTGGCGGACAAAGTCAAGACAGTGCTCAGAACCATCGCAAAAGGCTGCGACTACAGCCACAACATCGAAGCTCAGAGCCTGCAACTTTGAGCGGGCCCACTGGCGCTTGGCAGGTGTGACCTTGGTGTCAATGGCCCTGTGTTCCAGGGCCTTCTTCATCCCAAGCAGCTGCAGCAAGAACCGCCTCTCTGGGTCAACCTGAGTCTGAAAACGAGCTTTCCCGTAGCGAAGGCCCGCCAAGACTGGGATGGAAGATAGCCCCGCTGCTTTTGCAACCTCCTGCTGCGCAGCGCAAGCGTGCTCTACTTTCTGCTTGAACTCTGCGCAGTGTGTGGCCTCCTTGGCAAAAGAGTCCTTGCCTGAAATGAACTCTTCCTTGAAGCGAACCAGAAGCTCATCGGCTGAGGCAGTGTTCTTCGTGGCACCGACTATGGCATGACTTCTGTCTCTTGCGATTGCCATGGTTCTTGGAAATATCCCAGCCGCCAATTTCCGACAAGCTGCCTGAGCGTAAGGAGCGCCGTCTGCAGTCTGACTGGTAACTTGCTCGCAGAAATGTGCCTGGAGCTGCTCATCCCAAACACCGAGCTGCCTGGACGAGCCTGACAATGCTCCAATGCCTCGTGTGAAATACTGCTTGACACATTTCTGCGTAGAGGATGCCAATTCCTCTGCCCCGCCCACACTCTCCACCACGCCCAAGCCTCAGGCCACAAGGCGATAACCCCCCTAAAAACCATTTAAAAGGAATCTACCGAAAAAACACTTGGTTTTCCAAACTGAGGCACACCCACTTCGCAGCTCCAAGCGGTCATTGCAGGCGCGAAAACGCACCAGGAGGCAATGGCCTCGAGCATCGGTCATGATGCCCACATCCATGTTGGCTTGTCCCCGCAGCCAATCCCTGCACTCTTCCCGCGCGCTCTCAGCCAGACACCACCACATTTGCTGAATCTTGTGCGCAGACAAGACTTTGTCCTCAGCTGCCCCGCGAGCAGAAAGTGCCCGATGAGAGGCCTGCAAAGCTTCGATCCACTGCTGCGCCTGCTGGTCGGTGATGACAGTTCCACCAACCCGCCCAGGCTGAGTGACAACACGCGCCCGCTCCTGCGCAGAATGTTCTGCGGTCAGCTTCTGCAGAGGAACTTTGCCTGCAGGCCCAGGCTGAACTGAAGGCGCAGCCAGCAAACACTTGCCCGAAACACGAACCGAGCGAGGTTGCAAAAAGATCTCGGCAGCTGACTGTTGCGTCGCCCCAATACCATCCGGAAGACTTGTGGAACTTGCTGCTATGTGGTGCTGCGGCCCATCTGCATGTTGAAGTATATTCTGGATCCTAAGATTGCATGCATGGCGAAAGGGCCAAGGTTAGCCCCACCTGTTCACTTACCCTTATTGTTTGTTCCAGGGATACTGCGTCAACACTAGACAAAAACAGGCATTCTATAAAGTAGTAATACATACACAGACATATATACATATATATATATAGGCACACTCACATATATTATCTGTATTTGTTATTTATATATGTAATATTTCTTTGAGATACTACACACCGCTTAGGGTCTGGACACTGGAGCAAACTTCAGCCCGAGACCACCTGGTTGAACTAATCTGCCCCTCCCTCGCAGCACGAGCGCACAGGATGCAACCAATGGCCCAACCCTGCAATTGAACTTGCCGGCCCGACAACGATTCGAACAGAAGAGCGTCTTCATTCAAAAAAAACTGTCATCCGTCCCGGTCATTTCCTAAGCAAAAAGATCGCGGGCTCAAATGGTCAGGCCTGCTTCAAAGTCTTAGGCCTCACGGTGAGCCACTCAATACCATTGGTTATCAGCCGCGGTCGCCACTTTGAAATCAATCGGTTGAACTTGCTCTCATTGGCTTCCCGAGCTGCCCCAGGCAACGAACGCTGCTGAGGACATGGTTTCGGCCGAGGCGATGGGCCTACAGTATCCTCTATTTCGTCCATCTGAACCCCTCTTCGGGCAAGAAAAAAGTCTTCACAAGAATGAGAGGCGAGACAAAAACTGAAAAGCAGAAACACCATCCACTCGACTCGGCCTTGTCTTCAGACGCGAGCTTCCGCAATTTCTCCCAGCACCTCCTCATGATGCACTGGCTTTTGAGCGGGGAGTCAGCATCTGGCAAATCGAGAAGCTCGTTCACTGGCAGCGTCGCCAACCTTACTGTGCAACATGGTGTGAATTAAAGAGGCATGGCATGCATGGCGTCCAGCATGAAGCAAGCGCACGCAAGGCCCCAACCTCTTGACTTCATCTGAAGCTAGAGGCTCCTCGGCCTCAGCCTTCCTCTTAGGAGCCATGTCTGCGTGACCCGGACTCTTCGGAAAAACTGCGGGACGATGAAGACACAAGTGCATGCACACAGAACGACCTTGTCACCGGATGATGCGCCACAGCGAAACACGCATTTCAACCCCAAGCCCCTGGTCTAAAGGGGCATCGCCCCCTCAGATTGCGCGGGCAAGAACCTGCGCGGCAACAGATGCAAACGGCCACGGGTAAGCTTCCGCGTGCCGTGTCCACAAAACACCATCCGGAGCTTTCCCGGACAGCACGACATGTGGGCCTGTGCAAGAACACTTCTTAGTCAGCGGAGTCATGTCCCGAACATGAACGTAGTGCAAGCCCGTTGGTTTCTTCCATTCTGCGCCGTACGCGCAGAAATTGCAAAAACAATGCAACGCCTGAGCTTTCTTCATGGGTGGGCAGTGCCACATCCTACTGCCGTTTGGATTCTCACAAATGCAAGGAATCCCATGGTCATTGCGCAAACGAAGCAGGTCAGCAGAGACCTGCATCGTTTTATTGCCTAAGGCAATCTTCTGGCGATCTTTCTTGCTGAGACCGGGGAGCCCTTGCGTAAGATATTTCAAACTTTTCAGACTGCGAAGCTGACCGCCCGGAGTGCCTGGCCGCCTGCGTCTGGCGAGAGACCAGCTGCTGCATGGGGGTCCCAGCCAAAGCGCTTTGACCCTGTGGTTTGCCACAGCTTCCTTTAGAAGCAAGAAAACAACTGGGTCTGTCACATCCAATTGGACAACATCGGAACTGCCGCTGACAATGTCCAACCCCAGCGCTGGGATACCTAGGCCCCGCAGCTTTGAAGTCACCCGGGCGCTTCCACAGAAGACTTCCAACACACCCTTCGAGGGCGCGAAAAGAAATTCACGGAGCCGGCGAACATTCATCTCTGAAGCTTCCTTGCCTCAGCCAAGACCAGGTTTGTCTAGGTAACTTTAATGAGAGAACAAGAATTGTCTGGGTGGACTTGGTCGCGGGGAACGAACTGTCCTGGTAGATTTGGTCGGAAGAATAAACTAGCTAAGTATGCCTGGTCGTACTTGCTCCAATGAAAAACATATAATCGCAATGGGCATATGGTCTCTCTACTTGACAGCAGCACTGCTGGTGGCCAGTCGCCTGGGATCAGGCCACAAGGTAGCACTGCCTCTTCAACTTTCAAAAACCAAACAAGGTGCTCAGAGTAGTGGGGCAGGGCTTGGCGTGACTGGTCTTCACCAGTCAGGGCACAAGAGTTAATGACCTAGTAGATTGACTCGTGGCCCTGACACTTTTCCCCTGCCTGGTGCCGGAACGGCTGTAACGAACTCAACTGGCGGTCTTTCCGCAGGAGAAAGTCGCTTGGCGTCCAAAGAACCTGTGCCGCACACCAACCTACTATAGTTCCTGCAGGAATAAGGAATGTGATAGCTGCAAACCTATACCAGAAGAACATGTTGACACCGACATTTTAGAGGTGACCAAAACTCACGGAAACACGTGAGATACTTGACAAACTTTACTATCCTGACAAACGCCGCCTGAGATGTATCGACGCAATGTTCTGACATTTGTTTTGGCATCAAGTCTGGTATGGGTACTGACACATCGTTGGCATGCGTTCTACCAATCGTCTTGCCGTCTGACATTCGACAGTTCTTCTGACATGTACTTGTGACATGTGCTCTCGCACACAACTGGCGTGCGCTCAGACATGTGGTTGTCCGGCTTGGATCCGATGCGTGTCCGTATGTCTTCCGACCTTTGTTCTGCCATCAGGCCTGGCACTATCCGGCATTCTTTTCGGCAACCTATCTAGAATTTATCCCATCATTGTCATTCTGCATCTTTCTTTCTAGCGCATATGCCTTGCCATCATTATGGCTATCTTCCGGGCGCTTTCTCGCATCTTTTCTGGCGTTCTAGCTGGCACGGCTTCTGGCATTCTATCTGCTCAATGTTTTGGCAAGATATCTGGCAGACCTTCGGACATCCTTTCTGGCACCCGTTCTATTTGGCACGTCTTCTGACAGTCTACCTGGCACATCTTGTGGCATCCTTTCTGGCATATCATCTGGCATTCTACCTGGCAAATCCTCTGACACACTTTCTAGCAATCAATCTGCCATATCTTCTGGCGTTCTACCTAGCATGTCTTCTGACATTCTATCTGCATTCTCGCATTCTATCTGGCACTCCTAACATTTTCACTGGCTTCTCTTCTAACATACTTTCTGGCATTCTATCTGGCAAGTCTTCCACATCCGAACGTGTATCTTTTCACATTATTGTGGGGTATATACTGGCATACCTTCTGGAATTCGACCTGGCATAGATTCTGGCATCCTTTCCGGCAAGCTCTTTGGCACCTCCGGCATTCTTTCTACCGTATATTTTCTGACCAGGCATGCCATTTGACAGTCTAAGTGGCATGTCTTTGCACATTGGGAATGTGACATTCTGAATTCCTGCCGGGACTTCTGTGAGAGACACCTTTCGGCATTCTATCTGGATTCAATTCTATCTGGCATTCTCTGGTAGTTCTGTCATTCTGACCAGCACATCTTCTCTTCTGTCATTCATCCCGGCATTCCGGCCAGCATACTTGTTGACATCGGTTTTGGCATATGCTCCTTGTTCCGGCATCTTAACTGGCACGTCTTCTCATCCTCAGGCATTCTCTCATCCCATCCTGGCGTATCTCCAAAAACCTTCTGGTTGGCTTGTCTTCCGACACCCTGTCTGGAACGGCGCGCGCTCAGGCTCCACATGCCCAGACTGAGCTGTTGCTCGGGCCCGTGTGTGCCCAAACAGAGCTGAAGCTCGCCACCCTGCGCCGGGCTGAAGCTTGCCACCTGCGCCGGGTTCGAGCAAAACCGCAGGTACAGGAAGGTGATCAGCCTTCCCTTCCCTCGATACACCGTAGCTTCGTTGCGTCAGGTAGGTGTATCGAGCCTGACGCCCCTGCGGCTTTGATAATGCAAATTAATTCGCACGGACGAGCAAGGTGACTAATTGTGAACGAGTGAGAATGAGTGGCACTTTCCCAAGACAAAGACCTCACCTGGGAGGGTGACAGCACTTTTCAAAGGGCATGCGGAAGGAAACTTGGAAGTTGGGGGAGTCTTCCGGCAACAGGCCCCGCAGCACGCGCAGCGTGTCGATAGCGAGAGTTCACAAAAACACTTTCTTGTGGCCATGCATGTGAATGTGCATTCCATCAGAAGATGCAAGCAAGCTTGCAAACTTGCAAGCTAATGACCCTTCAGCATGGAGCCTCCACCACAAAGAGTCTTCCGTTTTTCGGCCTTCTTTCCCCCTGGGCAGAGACAACAAGGCCTAGCGTGACTGGATTGGTCCTTGAAGATCACCAAACGCGTTCAAAGAACATTCCTTCCTTCGATCGAATCGCGGTTCGACAGCTTGATTTCTACGCCAGCGTCTTGGGGACACCGGGTCCTGTTAGTATCCAGCCCCTCCCTCATAAAAGACGAGCAGACGCAATCAAGGTTGCAAACTCTTGGTCCGAGGCTGGGCCCGGGACCTTCGGCGAAGGGGGGCTTAAGCCCCCCTTCGAAGGGGGCTTAAGCCCCCCCTTAAGCCCCTACGAAGGTCCCCTGGGCCCAGTTCCCT